CCCCTCTGTCACACTCCCCTCTCTCCCTGTCACACTCCCCCCTCTGTCACACTTCCCTCTCTCCTTGTCACACTCCCCTCTCTCCTTGTCACACTCCCCCCTCTGTCACACTTCCCTCTCTCCCTGTCACACTCTCTCACTCCCTCTTTCTCTGCCACACTCTCCCTCTCTCTCTGTCACTGTCTCACACTCACCATCTCTCTCTGTCACACTCACACTCCCTCTGTCACATGCTCTCTATCAATCACTCTGTCTCTGTCACACTCCCTTCTTTCTATCACTCTGTCACACTCTCCCTCTGCAGAGCAGTCTTTTTTGCAAAACCTACAAACTTCACCACACTCATTTCTCCCTGAAAGGATTGCAATCTGGGTTAAAATCGCGAGGCTGTGAGGTGAGAGAGAGAAGCCCTTACCCAGCTGAGGAGCAGTGCCAGGAAGATGAGTAGCCCCCGGTGAGACTGAGCCATTACAGCACCCGGGTCAGGTATCACTCCCTGTGGTTGGAGACTGTTTGGCAGCGCCCGGAGAATTGCTTCATTTCCTACTGAAATCCCAGTTACAGCAGAGAACGGGAACTGAACAAATCATGGTGCTGGACTTCGTTCTGTACCTATCACTGTGAGCGAATGAGGAAGTGAGAGATTGCTGCTGGTTTTTGTAAACGCAATGAACAGCACCTAGGACCCATGTGCCCTGTTTTCCAGTCACTACCCCAGGGCTTTGGAGAGGATTGTATCGACACTGTTGTTCCCCAGTGAATCTCACAGAGAATTTCATTTCACACCCTGTCTCTCTCTCTCTCTCTCTCTGTGTTCAGGTTTTGCGGAATCTGTTCCAGACAGACTTTTACCTCCCCACCTGATTCAGATGGGAACAAGTTCTACTAAGTCACATATACAGGCTTCCAAGGTGCTGTTTGTCTGTCGCCAGGGCTTTTATTGAATTTCAAATACAGGTGTGTCCCTGGTAGATTAGCTTTACCTCACTCACATCTTCCAGAGGCTGGTGGTGAACAGTTAAAACGCTCTTGCCCACCTCTTCCCATTGGGGGAATTCTGACCCAGAGAATGGAATCCCTACAGTTTGGAAACAGGCCCTTCGGCCCGACAAGTCCACACTGACCCTCAGAGCACCCACCCAGACCCATCCCCCCTACCCCTGAACACTATAGGGTAATTTAGCATGGCCAATTCACCTAACCTGCACATCTTTGGACTGTGGGAGGAAACCCCGCACAGACATAGGGAGAATGTGCAAACTCCACACAGACAGTTGCCCAAGGCTGGAATTGAACCCAGGTCCCTGGCACTGTGAGGCAGCAGTGCTAACCACTGAGCCACCATGCTGACCCATCTCACCTGCAAGAGATATCTCCTCTGTCTTCCACTTACCAGTGCAATGTACAGAGGGTTAACCCTTCCACACACAGCTACCTATTTTAAGATAAGAAGCAGGTGGCTTAGAGGGGATTTGAGGATTTTTTCCACCCCAGAAGGTGGGCTGCATGGCATCAGTGACCTTGATTCAATTCCACTCTCAGGTGACAGTCTGACTGGAGTTTGCACATTCTCCCCGTGTTTGCATAAGTTTCCTCTGGGTGCTCGGGTTTCCTCCCACAGTCCAAGGAGATGCAGGTTGGGTGGCTTGGCCATGGGAAATTGTCCCATAGTGTCCACGGATGTGCAAGCTAGGTGGGTAAGCCATTGGAAGTGCAGGGTTACAGGGATAGGGTAAGGGAAAGGATCTGGCAGGATGCCGTTTGGAGTGTTGGTGTTGACTTGATGGGACGAATGGCCTGCTCCCAGAACCTGAAGGGATTCTATGATAGGGTGGTGAGGTAGCATTTTTGGTATGGGATGGAATAAGTATGATAGCAAGAAATGATCTTCAGTCAGAAGACATAGAATCAGTACGGGTGAAGATAAGAAATAAAAAGGGAGCGAAGACATTGGCAGGAACAGTCTATAGACCCCGAACAGTAGCTATGCTATAGGACAGAGAATAAATTGGGAAATAATGAAGGCACGCAACAAAGGCAGTACATTAATGATGGGACACTTTAATCTTCTTGTAGATTGGTGTTGTCAGATTGGGAGAGATTGCCATGAGGAAGAATTCATAGAATATACTCAAGTCAGTTTTGAAGAAAAATATGTTTGGCGGTGAGAGTGACAGTCATGGATATCAAGGCTCTGTTTGAGCTTGGTATCAAGGAACCCAAGCAAAACTGGAATCAATGGGTACTGGGGGCAAACTCTCCACCGATTGGAGTCATACCTGGCACACCAAACCTAAAGAGAGGAAGAGAACTCACGTTCCGGTATCCAGGAGTGTGCATACCCTGGAAAGTCCATCCACATCTGGATTGGAACAATTAAATTGCTTGGAAACATCCAAATTGGAACCAATCAAAACAAACATTTGGTTAACTGGTTCACCCGGTTCTAATGGAGGTCTTTTCAGTGATTACATAACCAGTCTGTAACAACATTCGCTCTGGACTCCAATCCTTATGTTTGTGCAAGAGCTCAACTACAGGGGACATGTAGGAAAGTACCCCCACATGTGGGTTGGAACAATTAAATTGCTTAGTGACACGCAAATCGGAACAGATTGATATTAGTGTTTGGTTAAATGGTCACCCAGTTCCCATGGAGGGCAATACTGGCGTAGCTGTATCCGTGGTTGCAGAATCTGTCTTTAACAAGATTCACTTGGGTTTCCAAGATGTAAGTTTGACCTCAGCCAGACTGAGAACATACACTGGGGAATCATTGCAGATTGAGGGTACGGTCTCCTATGAGAAGCAGTTGGTGCAGTTATCACTGATGGTCGTGAAAGGCTCAGGCCCAAGTCTGTTGGGGGGTGGAATTAGTTGAGAAAGATTCACTTTGATTGGCTCAACAAGTTTTCGATTGGAAAATGGCTGCCTCAGTGAAGTCCTAGTGAAATACTCAGGAATATTTCAGGAAGGGCTAGGGACCAACAAAGGGGGCAAAGCCACTTTACACATTGACCAGGAAGCAATTCCGAGATTTTGTACGGCCTACCCAGTGCTATTTGCTTTGTGCGCAAAAGCAAAGGCGGAAATCAGGAGGTTGGAAAGCGAAGGAACAATCAAACCAGGGCAGTTTGCAGAATGGGCAGAATGTGAGGCCTGACGGCTTGGTTTGCCTTTGTGGGGATTTTAAGCAAACGATAAACCACTTCCAGGACCTGGATAAATACCCGATCCCTCACATAGAGGACTTGTATGCAAAGTTCCCAGGGTGGGGAGGGTTCTCCTTTACAAAGCTGGACATGTGCCATGCCTACCTGCAATTGTAACTGGATGAGAAACCCACAAGAGTTTATACCAATATACAAGGCTGCCATTTGGGGTATTATCAGCCTGTGCCCTTTTCCAGCGGACCATGGAGAACATTTAACAAGGGCTACCTCAGGCTGCCACTTATCTGGATTACATACTAAAAACAGGGAAGACCAACATAGAGCACTTGGAGAACGTGGACATGGTGCTTAAACATTTCTCCCAGGCAAGCGTACACCTTAGAAGGGAAAAATGTGTGTTCCAGGCGCTCCGACAGAGCTGCGTTGGTGGGGCAGTGCCCAGATTGCCAACAAGGACAAAAACTTGCCACTAGCAGCGCTCCCACATCTGTGGGAATGGTCGGGTAAACCCTGGACTCAGTTACATGTCAACTATGCTGATCCTTTCATGGGCTCTATGTTCCTGGTCATTGTGGACACCCATTCAAAATGGTTGGACGTGAATAAAGTTCATTCGGCAAACTCAGAGATGATGATTGAGAAGCTGTGAGCATCGTTTGCGATACACATACTCTAGGAAGTATGAGCCATGGACAATGGGATGCAGGAAATTCGAATATTTCCTAAAGCCAAATGGCATTCGGTAAGATGCAGGCTATGGTCAGGTACACGTCACCCGTGTCAGAATCCGAATCAGAGGAACCGGACCTGGGGCGAAAACGTCGCAGGAAAGGCTACAAAAGAAAGACCAGGCCTACATCCCTGGGCTTAATGGGGGTCGGATGTAGTGACTGGAATCAGGTTGACTTTGTTAACTATGAGGACCTTGTTTGGGGTTGTTTACCTGGGCCAATCAGGAAAGCCTTGGCTGACCAATATAACCAGGAGATTGTTTGTTTTGTGGTGCTGTGGAGTCCGTGGACCATGTGTATGTTGGGTGTGGGCATTTGCACTCCCGTTTTTAGTTAACTGAAGGACCTTCTCTTGTGTTTTTGGGGGCTGCACATCAGTCTCATGCTCCTGATCTTTGGGCACTCAGTGCAGAGGGGAGCGGGCAGGTTGGAGTGTGGTCCTCTTGTGGATTTGCTTCTGGGCCTGGCCAAGCTGGCCTTTAACAGGCCCGGGCAGCGGGCAGAGGAGGGGGTCATTTACACTGACCGCCTGACCCTCTTCCGCGGCCATGTTTGAGCCCGGGTGACTCTAGAGAAGGAGCACGCAGTGTCCACCAACACTCTCAATACCTTTAGGGAGAGTTGGGCACTGTGGGGATGTGGGGGGTGGGGGGGTGGTGCTTTATTCCCCCCTCCCCTCCAATTCTATTTTGATTTGATTCCCTGCCCTCCCCTTCCCTTTTCCTTTCATGTGAACATTTTTCCAGCCGTGACTCTGCTTGTCACTGGTTCCCTGGCCACCATCGGTGTTTTTACTGGTGGTGGAATATTAACAAAGTTATTGATACAACTGGTGTTTTCATTGTGTTTTGCACTTACACACACACACACACACACACACACAGCATAGGGGTGCTGAGAACAATAAACACTAAAAGCAAAATATAAACAGGGGATTCATGTTTGCAAAATAAAAGCGTCTCCAGGAGATTAGCATCTCCTCAGTTGAGTAGACTGACTCTGAACTGGCTGGACACAGCCAATGTATTGTGCAGAAATAAATAAAGGGTGACTTGGTGACTTGGAATATCAGTCTCTGTGCAGTTATTTCAGTCTCTTTCCCTTTCTAAATGAATGTGTTTCGTTGGCAGTTTTCCAGATTCTTGAAAGATTACTTACCAGTGCATCCATTATCTTTGTAGCTACTTCCTTTAATGTCCTGAGAAGCATCCCACCAAATCCAGGGAACTTGTCAGTCTTTAGCCCCATTTGTCTCCCTAGCACCTTTTCTCCAGTGATAGTCTTGAATTTGTTTCCTCTCCTCCTATTGTCTCCTGACCATTCAGTAATTTTGGGATGCTAATAGTGTCTTGTACAGTGAAGGCAGAAGCAAAGTTTTTATTCAACTCCTCTGCAATTTTTGGTTCCCCTATTATTATTTCCCCAGCCTCAGTCTCAAAAGAGCCTATGGCTTCTCTCTTCCTTTTATATATTTAAAGAAGCTCTCTTGACAATACTTACAACTTTATTCTCAAAGTTTATTTACTCCCTCTTTATTATTTTTTTGATTATCCTCTGTTGGCTTTTAAAAACTTTCCTTAATCCTTTGGTTTACCACTAATCTTTATCACATTATATGTTTTCTTTTCTTACAACCTAATGCTATTCTTCACTTCTCTGGTTAACCATGATTTGTTTATCCCCTTCCAAGAATCCTTCTTCCTCACTGGGATATGTCTTTGCTGTGAGCCATGAGCTATTTTCTTAAATGTTTGACATTTGTGCTCAACTGTCTTTGCTGCTAAACTTCTTTCCCAGGCCACTCTGACCAGCTCTGCCCTTGTTCTTTGTAATTGCCCCTATTTAATCTTGGCACAGTTGTTTCTGACCCAAGATCCTCACTCTCAAATAGAATGCTAAATTCTACCATGTTATGATCACTATTTCCTAGGAGATCTTATACTCAGACATCATTTATTAAACCTGCCTCATTACACATCACTGGATCCAAAATGGCCTGATCCTGGTTTTTTTTTTGCATGGGGTGTAGGCATCGCTGGCAGGACCAGCATTTATTGCCCATCCTTAGTTGTCCCTTGAGAACATGGTGGTGAGCTTCCTATTTGAACCGCTGCAGTCCACATGGTATAGGTTGACCCACAATGCCCTTAGGGAGGGAATTCCAGGATTTTGACCCAGTGATACCGAAGGAATGACAAAATATTTCCAAGTCAGGATAGTGAGTGGCTTGGAGGGGAGCTTGTAGGCAGTGCTCCCATGTATCTACTGCCCTTGTCCTTCTAGATGGAAGTGATTGTGGGTTTGGAAGGTGCTGTCTAAGGATCTTTCTTGAATTTGTGCAGTGCAACTAGTAGATAGTACAGAGTGCTGCTAATGAGGGTCAGTGTTGAAGGGAATGCGTGTTTGTGGATGTGGTGCTTTGTCCTGGATGGTGTCAAGTTTCTTGAATGATGTTGGAGCTGCACCCATCCAGACAAGTGGGGAGTATTCCCTCACAGTCCACAATTGTGTCTTTTAGATGGTGGACAGGCTTCGGGGAGTCAGGAGGTGAGTTACTCGTTGCGGTATTCCTGCTCTTGCCAGCCATTTCTCCGAGTCTGGGCTTCGTTTTGGGGTTTTGCTGTGGGCTGACTTAGAGTCCCTCTGTGCAGGATATGTCCTGAATGAGCCTAGGCAATTACCTTCATTCAAGTGGTGTTCCCCAAGCTCAGTCAGCCTGGTGTTGCACCTCCCTCAGAGCCAGCTCTCAGTGTGAGCAGAACCTCTGACAATCTGGTTTAATCTGTCAGCCAGGGCTCCCTGATTGGACCAGGTTAATAACCCCAAGCAAGGAACTCATATTCTGTGATGTCCACATTGCTGACCTCATTACAATCACCTCACAAACCTCAAATGTTTATTTTTTAACCGAGCTAATGTGACATATGATACACGGAAAATGTATCATTTTGTTATGTAAGTAATGGCTGGGATGCATCAAATCCTGCATTAATCTTGGCCCATAATCTGGTGAGTAAACTAGATGCTAGGTTTGGTCTCACAGTGATGTTTGTCTAAAATTGCTGACATGAAATAGTTTTGAACTTCCTAAGTACATGACAGGTGCCATTGAAATACTTGATTGAATTCTCTGTTTTATTACTGCGCCTTAAGTCTAATCTCCATAAGAGTTAGAGCAGAACGCTGACAAGTGATTAAAAAGTGAACCACACTGGAGGGGGGTATGAATGAGGTCTGGGCTCCAGGTATATCGATCATTAAAATATCATGAACAGGAATAATTTAGCAGGAAGAAACCTCAGTTCCAAAGCATCAATTACAAGGAGCCAATACATAAATTATTGTTGCACTCTCTGGGGTTCTGGAAAGTTAAGGGGCAATTTGAGTGAAATTTTATTAATGCAAGAAAAGTATCAGTTCTTCACACTCACTTTCTTCCTTTAAGACGTTCTACAGAACCCACCTACTTGGCCAACCATTTGGTTATCTGTTTCGATATCTCCCTCTGTGGCTTGCTGACAATTTTTAGTTAGTAAGAAAGCACAGGTGGGGGATTTCAAGACCAGGGGACATATTTTAAAGGTGAGAGGAGAAAGGTTAAAAAAAGACATGAGGGGCATTTTTTCAACACAGAGTGATTCATATATGGAATGAACTTTCAGAGGAAGTGGAGGATGTGGGTACAGTTACAACGTTTAAAAGACATTTCGATAAGTACATGAATAAGAAATGTTTAGAGGAATATGGTCCAAGCGCAGGCAGGTGGGACTAGTTTAGTTTGGGACTGTGGTAGTCATAATTGGACTGAAGGGTCCGTTTCTGTGCTGCATGACGCTATGACTCACTTGAGGGACGTGGGTGTTGCAGGCTGGGCCCAGCATTTATTGCCCATCCCTAGTTGCCCCTTGAGAAGGTGGTGGTGAGCTGCCTTCTTGAACAGTCCGTGTGCTGTAGGCAGACCCACAATGCCCTTAGGGAGGGAATTCCAGGATTTTGACCCAGTGACACTGAAGGAACAGCGATATATTTCCAAGTCAGGATGGTGTGTGGCTTGGAGGGGAACTTGCAGGGGGTGAATGCATTTGCTGCCCTTGTCCTTCTAGATAGAAGTTGGTGTGGGTCTGGGAAGTGCTGTCGAGATATTAATGCAATGGTGGATAAGTCAATCAGACCGCTTTTTGCTGGTTGGGGAATCTAGGACTAGGAGGTAGAGTTGAAAATTTAGATTCAGATCTTTTGGGTGTCAGATTAACAAATATTTGTACACTGAAAGGGTGGCAGGAGTTTGGAACATCTTCTGCAGATGGTAGTTAATGCTGGATCATTTGTTGAATCCCCACCTTGAGGTAATGTTGATCAAAGATGTTAAGGTACCTGGTGCTAAGGTGGGCCAAGGCAGTTAGGACACTGATCAACCATGAATTCCTTGGAACAGATTTGAGAACTAAATGGCCACTTCCCATAATATTGTGTTGGAGGTGTCAGCTTTCAGGTAAGAAGTCAAGCTGAGGCCTTTCTCAAGTTGATGTAAAGGAGCCCACGGCCAACATTCTAATGTGGTTGTCCAAACCAACATTTATCCTTCAATCAACATCAGACTTCAACGAGAGTGATCCATCCATCAAAAATCCTTGCTGGGTCTCTATGAACAACTGAAATGTTTTAAGGCATTAGTCACTCTATCCCTTGTTAGGACCGTGGTCATTTCCTGTTAGCAGATGCCTGCTCAGTGGTCTAAAATTTCTTGGTTTTCCAACAGTGCAGCACTGGGAATGTCAGCTGGACTTTGAGTTTAAGAGTCTGGAGTTAGGGCTCGAACCCACAACCCCATGAACAACAGCTAGCTCCCAAGGATGAGGAACCTATGTTAGTGACTCCTTACCAAATGGTGGACTAGAATCAAGGCCCCAGTGGCCTAGCCTTGCTTCTATTTTGTACATTCATTATTTTCTCTCTCAGAAGGTCATTAGTCTGTGAAATGTTATTTCCCCAGAATGGGAGGAGAGTTACTCAATAATTTTAAGGCCAAATTAGATCAATTCAGGAGGAATGTAGACTTGAGGCCATTTAGCCATTTAGCCCAACAAACCTACTCCTCCACTCCATCATATTGCAACTGATCTGACTGTAGCCTCGACTCTACATCCTCTCTCACTCCTACACCTTCTAACCGTCACATCAATCAGGAATCAATCTAACTCAGCCTTAAAAAATATTCAGTAACTCTCCTCCCATGCTGGGGAAATAATGTTTCACAGACTAATTACCTTCTGAGAGAGAAAATAGGGAATGTACAAAATAGGAGCTGGGCTGGGCCACTGGGGCCCATGATTCTTTTGAATCATAGAATCCCTACTATGTGGAAGCAGGCCAATTGGCCCATCGAGTCCACACTGACTCATTCTAGGCTACCATTTGCTAAAGAGGAACATAACATAGGTTCCTCATCCTTGGGAGCTAGTTATTGTTTACAGGAATCTTTGCATAAGCTGCAGGCGATGCATGTTTATCTTTTGGGTCAAATGGTTTAACAGCATCGATCCAGGATTATAGAACTGACAGTGGGTTAGGCTGTGTTTAACATTCGTCCATGATCTAGAAACTAGCTTCCAATGTCTGGAAGGTGTTTGGTGCAGCAGCACCTGAGAATCAAATTCTTGATCAGCTGAAACTGGAACAAAAGTTTAAAACCACTGCCCAACTCTGCCACTGAGTCACCATCGCAAAATTATATGTTCACATTTTATGGAGACTGGGCTGATCATTTCCTGGAATGTTTTATTGTACCTTGAGGACTTTGGATTTTCTTTCTTCCTTCAGACAAGGGACATTTCCCATCCCATCCCCACTCTTACTCCCCTAATTGGGATCCCGCCCCAGACTACCCTGTACACAATGGCCAATCCACCTAACCTGTATATCCTTGGACTGGAGGGAAGGAAACCCACGCAGACACAGGGAGAATGTGCAAACTCCACACAGATGGTTGCCTGAGGGTGGAATTGAACCCAGGTCCCTGTCACTGTGAGGCAGCAGTGCTAACCACTGAGCCAGCGATGCTCCCTTGCTGCTCCCTGTGGCTGTATGTTCACAGCTGGGTGAAGAGTGGCAGCCTGGAGGAGAATGGGGAAGGCGGACAGAGTGCCCATCGCTTGGAACACACTGGTTCCTGGTAAAGGACGGTTTAACATTTAACACTTCTTGCTCATACTGCCCCTCTAGCCTGCTCCTCCATGCGATAAGATCTCGGCTGATCATATTGCTCCACATTCCCTCATGTTCAAGATCATCTTTCACCCTCCAACACCCCCAAACCCATTGTTTATCATGAACCTACGTATCTCTGCAGTTTTCAAAGACACTGCTTTCACAAGGGACAGTGACAGAGATTACAGACCCCAGGGCTACACCTGACTGAGTAAAATTTCCACCTTACCCTGACCCCCACATCCATCTTTAGACTCTTAATTCCAGATATTTTATTGAATTCAAATTCCATCATCTGCCAAGGCAGGATTTGAACCCAGGTGCCCTGAATATTATCTGGGTTTCTAGATTAACAGTCCGACAATAATACCACTAGGTCATCGTCTCCCCGTGCCCTCCAGCATTCCTTCAAATATTATACACATAAACTGGTGCACATGCGGGGCTTACAAGGAGCACCAATGTCTTGTATCACTGAGGCAGAAAATCCCTACCTTTGTATTCAATTCTCTCGTAATAAATGAACATCAGCGTGGGAATATCTATTTACAATGTGCACCGAGCCTGAAGTCAGGACCTTGGCTCATTGTCTCCCAATGCCTCACCCTGAGCTACTTCTTTCACAGTTTTCACCTTCCTTTTTCAGGGACAGAGTGAGGAGCCAGCTCCAAATCCACCTCTGATGGACAGGAATCGAACCTGCGGCATTGGTTTTATTCGGATTCACGTGCTTGCTCCCCAGAGGAGGAAATCATTATAGGAATTGAACTCAGCAGTCTTCTGGAGGTTGGACTGGAGTGAACACAGTCAGGAGTCACACGACACCAGGTTATAGTCCAACAGGTTTATTTGAAAATGCAAGCTTTTGCAGTATTGCTCCTTTGTTGGGTGAAGAGACGTCTTCAGCTGACAAAGGAGCATCGCTCCAAAACCTTGTGATTTCAAATAAACCTTTTGGACTATAGCCTGGTGTTGTGTGACTTCTGATTTCTGAGGAACAGCTCACAGCATAGTGTGGCAAGGTGGCTTCGTTGTTAACACTGCTGCCTCACAGCACCAGGGTCCCTAGCTCGATCCCACTTGTGGGTGACCAGTCTGTGTGAAATTTGCACAATCTGGGTCCTCCAGTTTCTTCCCACAGTCCAAAGACGCTCAGGTTAGGGGTTTGGCTGTGTGAAATTATCCTGTAGTGTCCAAGGATATGTAGACTAGCTGGGTTAGCCAATGGGAAGTGCAAGGTTGTAGGGATGGGGTGGTTCTGAGTGAGATGATCTTCAAAAGGTCAGTTTGGACCTGATGGGCCAAATGACCTGCTTCCACACTGTAGGGATTCTGTGCTGAATGGAGCTGTGAGAAAGGCAACAGGTCTGAAAGAGAAACAGAGATGAAATTTGTGATCCTTTTCAATTAGAATTATTTATTACATAATATCAACAATGTCACTCCATAGACAAATACTTCCTTCTAATTTTCATTCCTTCACCAACCAGCGTAAAACACTTTGGATTTCAGCTCTGCCCAGGAGAGGTGGGGGTTATAAAGAGAGAGACTTGACATTCCCACAGTCAGGTCCTTTTACCCGAGGGTGTGTTTATTAAAGAGGTACTCGCCCATTCCACTTGTCTGGCCCACAGTCAACTTCTTGAGACTTGTGATGTGCTCTCCCAGCTTCTTCATGATTTCTACGCTGCTGTTCAAGAAATTGGACTCGAGGAAGTTACACATCTGAGAGAGCAAAAAAAAAACCCAAATGTGAAATAACTCAGCAGCTCGGTCAGTTACCCCATTCGATCAAAAATGTCTTGAGTTCAGTCACTACCAGTCACGGAATCTAAGATCCGTGGATGTTGGAAATCTGAAACAGAGGAGCTCGGTGGATCTCGCAGCATCAGCGGAGAGAGAGAGAGAGTGAGCGAGAAAGAGTTCTGTTCTAAAGAAGGGTCACTCAACCTTAACTCTGATTTCTCTCCACAGATGCTGCTGGACCTGCTGAGCTTTTCCAGCAATTTTTGTTTTTGTTTCTAATTTACAGCATCCGCAGTTCTTTTGGCTTTTCGAGAAAGAGTTAAAGTGTACTCAAGGGGTCAGCGTCGAACAGGGATGGGATCCATTTGGCACCAGGCAAGCAAGTAAAACATTGTTGTCCATGGCAGAGGCTGTCATGTGATAGTCATCCATATTCCACATTCAGTGGGTGATGGGGAAGAAGAGCAGTGTAGAAGCCCTACAGTGTGGAAGGAGGCTATTCAGTCTGAAGAGAATCCTACTCCAGTCCCTCTAACCCTGCATTTCCCATGGCTAATCCACTTAGCCTGCACACCCCTGGACGCTATGGACAATTTAACATGGCCAATCCACCCTAACCTGCACACCTTTGGACTGTGGGAAGGAATCAGAACACCCAGAGGAAACCCACGCAGACACGGGGAGAATGTGCAAACCCCGCACAGACAATCGCCCGAGGGTGGAATCAAACCCAAGTCCCTGGCGCTGTGAGGCTGCAGTGCTAACCACTGAGCCACCGTGTTGCCCCTGATCCATAATTCTATAGCAATGTGCCCAGTGGCAGGGATAACACTCCATAGGTACCTGAGGATCGTGTTTATTGGAGGCCAGGTGATGAAGTTCAAGGAGACACTTGTTGATAGTTTTCTGCAGTTCGAGCGCAAACTGAATGGCATCCAGCCCATTTGTCCATTCTCGCCTTTCTGGTTTCTGTGCCAGGAAAAGAGTCAAACTGAGATCTCTGTCTATCTATAGCAGCTCAGATGCATCGTGGCTTGGTATGGCAACTGCTCTGTCCAAGACTGCAAGAAACTACAGAGAATTATGGGCAGAACACAGCCCAGTCCATCACCCAAGCCAACCTTCCATCCATTGACTCCATCTAAACTTCTCACTGCCTCGGGAAATCAACCAACATAATCAAAGACCCCTCCCCACCCTGGTTATACTCTCCGCCACACTCTTCTGTCAGGCACAAGATATAAAATTTTGAATGCATGTATGAACAGATTCAAGAACAACTTCTTCCTTGCTGTTATCAGACTTTTGAATGGACCTCTCAAATGTTAATTCTAATTTCTCTCTCTTTGCATCTTCTCTGTGGTTGTAACGCTGTTTTCTGCACTCTGTTCTGCTACCTTAATGCACTTTGTATGGTATGATCTACCTGTGTAGCATGCAAAACAACACTTTTCCCTCTATCTCGGTGCATGTGACAACAATAAATTAAATCAAAATCCAAAACCAAACCCCCTATCAGTGTGACCCTGTCTGCAGTAGAATTAAATATTCTTTTATTGTATGACGGTATGGGAAAGTATTTAATTGGGGAAGGGGGAATTACATTGCTATTAGGCAAGAACTATGGAGCACCAATTGGGATCAGATGTTCTCAGGGAAATGCACAATAGAAATGTGGAGGTTGTTTAGGGAGCAGTTGCTACTGGTACTGGATAGGTTTGTCCCACTGAGGCAAGGAAAAGACGGTAAGGTGAAGGAACTTTGGATGACCAGACACATGGAATACCTAGTCAAGAGGAAGAAGGAAGCTTACTTAAGGTTGAGGAAGCAAGGATCGGACGTGGCTCTGGAGGTCTACAAGGTAGCCAGGAAGGAACTGAAGAATGGACTTAGGAGAGCTAGAAGTGGGTATGGGAAAATCTTGGCGGGTAGGATGAAGGAAAACCCCAAAGCTTTCTATACCTATGTGAGGAACAAGAGGATGGTCAGAGTGAGTGTAGGGCCAATCAGGGATAGTGGAGGGAACTTGTTCGCGGAGTCAGAGGAAGTCCTTAATGAATACTTGGCTTCAGTATTCACCAGTGAGAGGGGCCTTGACGTTTGTGCAGACAGCATGAAACAGGCAGATAAGAAAAATACAGAAGTACACGAGTACAGTGAAAAGTTTTTACAATGGCTGCCTTTTAATGGCGCCATCTTAGGTACAAGTACCTAGGTACAAATCTTACAGAGTTAAAAAGAGGTGGACCCACACAATGAAGATAAAAGGAAAGCGTAAGCATTACCTATAGAGGTAGTTCCAACATAGTGAAAAGGTTTTAAATTACAGTCCGATAACAGCAGCTCAGGATGTGGTGCCAGGCGAAAGTCCAGCAATTGTCCCGCATCGCTCCAGCCTCCAGTCCGCTCCTCACCGGCACACAGCAGCAACAAGGTAAGTTGTGCCGTATCGGGATTCATACCTCAGCGCCTCCATCTTACTGGGACACAGCCCCTCCATCGCTCTGGGACACAGCCCCTCCGTTGCACTGGGACACAGCCCCTCCATCGCTCTGGGACACAGCCCCTCCATCGCTCTGGGACACAGCCCCTCCATCGCTCTGGGACACAG